AGCGGTAGAGCACTCAAGAAGTAGGGAAAAACACTCGACTACGTCTCGTGTTTTCCCCTACACTTCTTTCGTGCTCTACCGCTTCCTGCGTGCTTTGCAACAGAACAGAGCACAGTCGGGGCTTGTTTATTTGTTAATTCCAGGTGTATTTCGAGTCAGCCGTGATCGAATACGTCAGAACATTGCGGCATACGGGGCGTGCGTCGATCCGTGTTCGAGCGAATTCGGGCCCGAATATTTGGCTTTTCGCGCAGTGTCAGATTTCGACGCCGATAGAGACCATTCGTTTAAAGGAATTATGCACTCACATGAACATAATAGTTGAGAAACTCAGACGAAGACCAAGGTTTTGGTAATGCAGCATTGCATGAGTGAACAATTAAGGTTACTTCAAACCTTCGCGGGTGTCCTTCAGAAAAAAATTCGTACGCGCACTGTTTTGCAGGAAACCCCCACAAACTATATATCAATAGAAAGGTTATAAAATGTAGAATTCGATAATATTATGCTCTTTTTTGCCGACTGCTTTCCTAAGGCGGTAGAAGCTGTTAACGCCAAAACGACCGACTGAAATTGCGGCGAATTAATCAGGTATCAAATGCGATCGTTGATGCAAAATAACTATGCAGTGTTAATCACAAAGCATCAATCTCTCAAAGCGTGTCAGCATTTTCTTTCATTTCCATTGGTTAACTTTTTATAGATCTGTCAAGTTCCACTAGCCAAAAATTCGCGTAACGTGTCCCCTCCACTAACTATGGTTGCGTTAGAGACCGCCACCCGATGAAGCCCCGCATTTTACATGAGTATGTAAAATCGACGGTTTTCCTTGAAATTTGGCCAGAACATTCACTGATAGATATGGAACAAAAACGTGTCGGCGAATTATTTTATTTCAAATACTTAAAAGCAGAAGCCACGGAATCCAGACAAGTGTGAAAGCACACCATGGCTTCATCGCGAGAGCGCGGAATAAATGATGACCTCACGTACGCAGTGATATATAAGCCTAAACGAGATGCATCATGGGATACTATTCGATCGTCGCCTGCAACGCCATGTAAGGTTGAGATTTATTTAAAGACGATTTGCAAATTGATTGATATTGCAAAAATTTGAAGGTTTCGTATGGAAGCAAGAAAGCTTTGTTAGCCCTCCAGAAACCTTTTCCATTGTTAATCACTACAGAAGGAAGCTTTTGGCATATAACTATTAGAGATATTCCTGTGCTCATTCATATGTTCTTCTCCGTTGCAGTTCAAGAACTTCAATCAATTCTAAGAATGCGTTGCAGATTTATGAGCAGGTCTGTTATAAAGTTTGCCTTTATGCTCTTGACGGTTTTCGCCATCGGGACTCTCTTTGTAAACAAGCACACTCCATGTCGACTGGATCATCCGAGTCAAGTGGATGGACTGCCAATTATCGTGACGGAAACATCGAAAAGGAATCGGTCTCTGGGTGAGTAAACTAAAAGTTCCATACAATATACTCCTCTCTTTGGAACTTGGCAATAATTCGGGTTTTGTTTTTGTTAAAATGTTTAAATCCCAGCGTTTCATAACAGGCCATTTCCGAATTGCCTTTTGCCTCTGCGTCAAAACAAGTCTTCGTGCGAAACCCTTTACCACCGACCGGTTAGCTCAGTTGGTAGAGCGTTGGACTACCGTGCGGGAGGTCGCGGGTTCGAGCCCCAGACCGGACCAACACTCAGGGTCTTAAAATAACTGAGGAGAATATGCTGCCTTTGCAATGACATCTGTAAATGGTTAGATATTTTAGTCTTCTCGGATAAGGACGATAAACCGTAGGCCCTGTCTCCTGCATCTTCACTGTTATGGTCAGCAGAGGACGTTAAAGAACCCACACACTCATCGTAAAGAGCAGGGCACGAAATTCCCGGTATTGTGGTCTGGTTTTTGCCCATTGTGCTGTTGAAATGCTCGGAGACNGCATTCATGGAAACCAGGATTTTTCTTAAGTGGCATATTAATGTAAGTTAATATAATGTTAGGATTTGGAGTTTTAGTCATTATTATGAAATTTTTTCTACCTGATGTTTTTACCGTGTATAAATAATGATTAAAGATTAAAGATTAAAGGTTAAAGATTTTCATATGAAAGGTTTTGCCAGAAACATATCACGAGGACCTGTTTTGAAGCTGAGGTACATAGTAGCTCGGAAATGGCCTATTTACGACAGCTCAGTTCACATGTATAGAGCGTTTGCACATGACGTCACGGCAGCCACATTTGATGTCCCAAAACAATGAAACGGCGGCCATTTTGGTGTCCCAAACCAAAACTCTTTTCTTATGTAAACACTTTCTTTTGTTCCAAGAAATTTCCATGACTGCTAACCACGTGAGCTAGTGAATACACTCGACACTGTAAACATTGACCGGGACATAAGAGTAACGAAGTTGTCATTCACAGAAATCTGTCATTCAAGTCAGTTCCAAAACTGAGTCCAGGTACACGAAAGCAACTTCATTAATTATCTTTATCTTCACAGGCGAACAGCCTTCTATTTGCCTGAACAAAAAGATCATAAAAAATTCCACGATAACTAGACTGGGGAGCTACCCTGAAGGAAAAGGTAAGAATAGAACATTACTTTTCAAATGTCTTGTAGTCATGGTGCTGCGCAAGCAATAGGGACTTAAGATACGAGGACGGGAAGGCCAGGACGGCAACGTCAGTGGACGCGGAAAACTCTCGCGGGTCCCGCCGTGTCGCCAAAAACAAAATGCTTAAGATGTGCATTTTCGCAAAGGACTGCAACGTCAATAATTCGAACCTCGTACAAGCTATTCACAGAAGCAATGGCATCCATTAGACTATAAAAGAGATGGTAGAAATCTTATCCTATTAGGCTTAAACAATAGTGAACAGCGATACTGAATTTCTTTTTCTTTATAAGCGAAGCAAACATCTGTCAATATTTTAATAGAGAAACCATAATTTCCGTATAAAAAAATTAAACGAACAATCTGATCGACCTGCTTCAGATGGCTTTTTACCATTAAAGCGTTTGGGAATTCTGTCGGCGAAGAATCCTGACTTTTGGTGAACGTTTCAATTTCCATCTGTAATTGTAACAAGCATTATAAAAATCAAACAAATGTTGCATCAAGTTCCGGGTAGTATATAAAAAACAACTCGATATCAGTTTGAAAATGTGTATTTTATTTGCTCGATAGACGCTCCATGACATTCATGCTTACAACATTTTATCGACTGTACTTACACTGATGTATTCTCAATGCATACAGTTTGCATTGAGCTTGCACACTCGTGATGGCGTCTGAACAGTGACTGCAGAAACACAAACGAACAGACGAGGAATATTTTATTCACATTTTCGTATCTCAGCGTAGTATTCTACACTACAATCACGAAAACTGTGAACCTTACAAACATTCCTATCAATGAAACTGAAAATAAAGTCGATTAGAACAGTTATCGGGGCAAAACAAGTGCAAAATACTCACGTTTTCGATACGACGGCTAGTCGGGCGAAAT